CTCTCCTTCTTTACTGCTCCCACTCCCTCTTGTGTCTTCTCAAGGCTTTCCCTTTATCTTATTTCTAGATGCCTTGGTCCTGCTCCCTCTCCTTCCTTTTTGTCATCCTCTATTTCTCTCCTGTAGCCTAGCACTATTTTTTTCCTTTTCCAGTTGTTGTTCCAGATCGGCTTTGGGGTCTCTTTGCCCACAGCTTTCTCTGGCCTGTTCCCTGGCATTCTCATCCTCGCCGTGCCTGTCTGCCGCTCCATATCCCTGCCTCCCTATTTCCCTCCCTCCTTGTCTTCCGGCCTCTATCCTGTGACCTCGTTGAGGCCTCTCCTGCTCCTGTATCTCCCTGTCCCCGTCCTCCACCCTGTTCACCTCGCCCTCTCTCAGACCCTCTGTGCTGCTCCCTGTCTTGATGGTTGATGGCTTCATCTCTCTCTCTTGTTCTCTCTTCCTGTCTTCTCTCATGCTCCACCTCTGTCCTCTCTGTTGCTCTTGTTGGTTCCAGGCCAGCATCCTACTGATTGTCTCTCTTTTCTGCATTCATCTCCTGCTGTCCAGCTCCCTGTCGCTCGCCTCTCTTTAGATGCCTCTGTGCTGCCTCCTCTCCTTGCTGATCCCCCCACCCTGCTCCCCATCGCTGCCTTGGCGCTCTTTCTCCACACCACTCCTGCCCTAAAATACTCCCCCCTAAAATGCTGTCCCCCAGCAATACTGCTCCCCCCCCTGAAACGATCCCCTCAAATACCCTCCCCTGAAACACTTCCTGTCAAATAGTCCTCTCTAAAAAGTCCCCCAGCAGATAATCACATGGAAATGATCTGACCTCAAAATATACCCCTGCGAAATAATACTCCTGCTGCCCCTGCACCCCCAGCAAAATAATACTCCCCCACCCCTGCAAAATAACAATGCTTCTCCCCATGTAATATGGCTCTGCCACCGAAATCATACTGCTATGAAAAATCCGCGCCCCTCACGCCACCCTTCCTTCCCACACCCACCCGGTAGAATAATACACCCTTCCAAATAATACTCTCCCAATAATACCCCCGGAAATATTACACACACCCCCCTTGGAATACTACTACCCCTCCCAGTGAAATAATGCACTCCTTTCTTCCCCCCCTCCCCCCAATAATGCTCTCTGTCCCCTGCTGAAGTAAGGCTTGCCCCCTCACGCGAAATGACTCTTCCCCCCGTGTGAAATGTTGCTCTCGCCCTGCAAAACAATACTTACCCAGTACTCCCCACTTCACAGACTGATGTAATACTACCCCCAATAATATTCCCCTTCCCATACTCCATCCTCCCCCCCCATTATAAAACTCTGCCCCCTGGAAATATGGTTTACCCCTGTCTGCACAAAATGCCTCCCCCCGATATAACACTCCCCCCCAATATAAAACTTACCTTTGAGATAAAGCGAGATACCACTGCGCTCCTGCGAAATACCGCTCAACGACAGCCTGCTAAATACATCTTTCCCCCCCCTCGTGAAATATGATACTTCTAAGGTCTGCTTCCCTGCAGTCTCTCAAACATTTTGGTGCTTCCGCCCTGATTTGGCCGCCAATTACTCTTGATTTCTACTTTCTCCATTTCCCTTCCACTTTTTTTTTTTTTTTCTGGCCTCCCTTTATTCATGCCTTGATGTGCTCTTTGAAGAATTGAATCGATGGAAGAATTTGAACCTGCTGATGGCTTCATCGCTCTCTCTTTTTCTCTCTTTGCCTTTTCTCACGCTCCACCCTTCTGTCTTTCTCTCTGTTGCTCTGTTTGTTCTAGGCCAGCATCCTACTCCCTGTCTTTTTCTTCCGCAGTCGTCTCCTGCTCTCTGTCTCCCTGTTGCTCACCTGTCTTCTGATGCCTCAATACTGCCTTCTCTCTTTCCTGATCCCTCTGGCCTGTTCCCATCCCTGGCTTGATGCTCTTTCTCCACCTCTCTGTCTCGAACCTGTTCCTCTTCTCATCTCTCAGTTGCTACTGTTTGTTTCTCCATCCCTGCCTCACTGCCTGTCCCTTTTCCCTTCTTCTCTCAGTCCTCCATCCTCTCCCAAACATTTTGCCTGTCAAGATCCATACCCCTCTCTGTGGTGTTCTTTTGTTTTGCGGCGATAAGACTCTACAACCGTGAAGTTGTAAAGTAGGTATGTTTATTCAGTGCCGGGCGCGTGGGGGATCGCTCCACCAAAAACATGCGCGCTGTTTGTAGCTCCCGTCCGGCTTATATGTTACAAAATAGTGCACGTTCATAGAA